TTCGATCCAGCTGCCCTAAGCGAACCCTAGAAAGGGAAGGTGAACGATCCCAGGAGGGTAGTGCGGCCAACAGCACCGCCCAGCAGCAGCAGGGAAACGAGTAAAAGCCAGAACTGCGGGGCGGGTGCTGGCTGATGTTAAAAGAGCCCCAAGGATCTCGATCTCACAAACCCATGATGGGAACAGTCTAATCATCAAGGGCGAGGTCAACGGAATGCCGTGTAAACTGACCATAGACACTGGAGCCTCTCGTACGGTTGTTAGTTCCCAACTTATAAGTCAGTTCCTTGGGGACTCCGCATACAACCGAAAACGCATTAATTTGGTAACAGCCACCGGTCAGCGTATACCCGTCCGTGGAGAGAAGGAGATGGAGTTGAAGCTAGGCAACGTGATCTACCTGCATAATGTCATCGTGGCTGATATAATGGACGACTGCATCCTAGGCCTAGACTTTATGAGGAATAATTGTTGTGAGATCGACGTTAAGCAAGGTGTTTTGAAATGTGGACAGGAGGAACTTTTTATGGAAGGTGCGTTACCAGGGAACGTGTACAGCATTAAGAAGACTGTTCTTCCGCCGAGATCGGAAACGATTGTTCCGGTTAGTCTTCCTCGAAACGCTGCGCAAGCTCACCGTTGTGTACTTGTGGAAAGGGTAAACAATGACCTTCCATGGAAAGTAGCTCGAACCTTAGTTAGGACCACTGACATCTCAGGAGTACGTGTGCTGAACCTTTGCGACCGGGAACAGATTATAGAAAAAGGCACACTGATTGGTACTTGTGAGGAAGTGGATTGGTTAAGTCGGTGCCAATATATATCGAGTGGGACCCCCAGCAAGGATGCAGAAACGAGAGTGACCACACTTTTGGAAGACTGTCGCAGTGTTCTCTCCCCGAACGAATTGGTCAAGGCGAAGAAGTTGTTACTCAAGTACGCCTATGTATTCTCATCAAACGATGCTGACATAGGAAAGACTGGCTTAGTTCAACACAAAATAAACACAGGAGAAGAATTGCCTATCCGTCAGCGGCCAAGACGATTGCCGGTAGCACGTGAAAAGGAAGTGGAAACCATGATTGAGGGAATGGTGAAGGATGGTGTTATTGAACCTTCACCTAGTCCATGGTGTTCACCAGTGGTGCTGGTGAAGAAGAAGGATGGCAGCATGCGGTTTTGTGTTGACTACCGCCGTCTGAACGACGTTACGAAGAAGGACAGCTATCCCTTGCCAAGAATTGATGACACGCTGGACATGCTTACGGGAGTAAAGTGGTTTAGCACGCTGGATCTAAAAAGTGGCTACTGGCAAGTTGAAATTGACCCTAAGGACAAGGAGAAAACTGCGTTCTCGACGGGAAAGGGTCTGTGGCAATTTAAAGTAATGCCGTTTGGGTTGTGCAATGCTCCAGCAACGTTTGAAAGGCTGATGGAACTTGTACTTACCGGGCTAATTGGCGATGCCTGTCTGGTCTACTTGGATGACATCATCATCATAGGCCGTACGTTTGAGGAACACCTTCAAAACCTGGAACGCGTGCTCATGAAGATTCAGAGTGCCAACCTCAAGTTGAGCCCGAAGAAATGTTCACTATTCCAACGGCAAGTTAACTTTTTGGGGTTTGTAGTATCGGAAGAAGGTATCCGCACAGATCCAGAGAAAATCGCCGCTGTCAAGGATTGGCCGGTTCCAAAAGACAAGACGCAGGTTAAAGCATTTTTGGGTTTGTGCTCCTATTACCGGCGATTTGTGAAGAACTTTGCAGATATAGCCAAACCTCTGCACAAGCTAACCGAGGAGAAGCGACATTTCTGCTGGGATGAAAGTTGCAATATCGCATTCCAGGAGCTCAAGGACCGTCTGTGCAAAACACCTATTTTGGGATACCCTGATGCAAGCAAAGAATTTATAGTTGACACAGACGCAAGTGATATAGGACTTGGCGGTGTGTTGTCTCAACGGAATGGTGACCAAGAAGTCGTGATAGCGTACTTCAGCAAGTCGTTGTCAAAACCGGAAAGGAACTACTGTGTCACAAGACGCGAATTGCTAGCTGTGGTAAAGTCGTTGCAGCATTTTAGCAAATATCTTCTGGGGCGAAAATTTCACTTACGAACTGACCATGCTGCACTAAAATGGCTATTGCAGTTTAAAAATCCAGAAGGACAAGTTGCGAGGTGGATTGAACTACTGCAGGAATACGACTTCGAGATCAAACATCGCAACGGGAAATCTCATGGCAACGCAGATGCATTGTCAAGAAGACCTTTTCCTGAAGATTGCAAACATTGTACTAGGCAAGAGAGTAAGGAAGTGGTATCCGTGAGGATGCTCAGGGCAGACCACCTCAGCAACGAATGGAAGGACAGCTTACAACGTGCACAGCAGGAAGATCCGGACATCAAGCCGATCCTGGAATGGATGAAGGCCAGTGCTCCCAAGCCCAAGTGGAGCGACGTCTCAGCGATGAGTTCGACCACTAAAAGCTATTGGGCCCAGTGGGACAGCTTGCTGCTTCAGGATGGAGTTCTGTGCCGTAAATGGGAAAATGTTCGGGGAGACAGCTGTCATTTACAAATGGTTGTCCCTAAAGCTAAAGTACCGGATGTTCTACAGCTGTACCATAATGATTATTCAGGAGGCCATCTGGGAGTTAAACGAACTCTACTGAAGATCCGAGAACGGTTTTACTGGGTCCACTGTCGAAACGATGTCGAGGACTGGTGTCGCAAATGTACAAGTTGTGCGGCTGTAAAGGGACCTCAGACTCGTAGTAGAGGTGCATTGAAGTTGTACAATGTTGGTGCACCATGGGAGAGAATAGCCATTGACGTGGCGGGGCCGTTTCCGGAGAGTGAAAGCGGTAACAAGTATTTCATGGTTGTGATGGATTACTTCACTAAGTGGCCAGAAGTCTTCGCCATTCCAAATCAAGAAGCTTCAACAGTTGCAGATAAACTAGTTCATGAAGTCTTCTGTCGTTTTGGAGTACCTTTAGAGATTCATAGCGATCAAGGAAGGAATTTTGAGTCTCAAATATTCCAGGAAACTTGCCGAGTTATGGGTACTCATAAAACAAGAACGACTTCTTATCACCCGCAATCTGATGGAATGGTGGAACGATTTAATCAGACATTGGAGAGGTACCTAGCAAAAGTTGTAGACAATCGGCAACGAGATTGGGACAAGCACATACAACCGTTTTTGTTGTCATATCGAAGTTCTGTTCACGAAAGTACAACAGTGACACCAGCTTTCGCAAACTTTGGAAGAGAATTACGGCTGCCTGCAGACCTGATCACCGGGATACCACCTGATGCTCCACGCAGTATAACCGATTATGCAAATGACTTGCGGAAAAAAATGAATGACGTTTATGAGCACGTCCGACAATCGGGCCAGCAAATGTCTGAAAAGATGAAAACCCGGTATGACCGCAAAATGAACAACAAAGGGTTCGACGAAGGTTCACTTGTGTGGTTGCACAATCCAGTCCGCAGCAAAGGGAAATCTCCTAAGCTTCAAGCTAAATGGGACGGCCCGTACCGGATTGTAACCAGGATCAACGATGTGACCTACCGGATACAGAAAGGCGCAAGAGGGACTCCTAAGATCGTCCATGTGGTGTTGGCGCGTTATTATGGGACCGATAATGCTCGGGACGAGCATGTCTTAGGAGGGGGCAGTGTTGCATGAATAAGTCAACTAGCGCCATCTAGTGTCAGGAACGAGAGCGAGGGGAGCATTGAGAAAATGACATCACAAATTACTCAACCGACAGCGCCTAGTCGAAACTCGAACGCTCGGTACCTTGCGCGTGTTTACTTGAACATTCTGGATATTTCTTTGCTAATTTAAATATATAGGCGCTGCAAGATGCGATGGGGGTAGTGTTGATTTGGCGAAACAAGCGAAGCTTCGGAGCGGAATAAAGTGAATTAGTGTGTTTAATTATTAGTGTTTTTAACTTTAATTTGTGTAAAGTAAATTAAAGTGTTAATTTAGGTAATTTTATCGGCAATTTTTATTGTCACGAACCTCAAGCTCGTAACAATATATATATATATATACATAGAAGGGCGACACCATTTAGTTTTAAAATAAGTACTATATCTTACAATTATATAATTCTATAACTTATATTTAACATCACTATTACATTCTTTTGAGTTTTATTTTTTATTTTAAATTTATGTCTTCGGGGTTTCTACGATATATTTCATGTTGTTTAAATTAGTGATTTCTAAAATTTAAATTGCATAAAACTATTTATACGAATTTAATCGCGATTAATTAACTTATTTTTAGTTCCCGACGTTTCCACTGCATTACAGCACCCATGGTCACTAGGTTCACCGATATGTTCGCCGTCTCAATGTCATAGTTAGTCCGGCTACCTTTAGTTTTAAAATATTAATTTTTGGTCCGATCTACGTGGAACGAGCTTACAGGATCTTGGAAGTCTTGCAATGGTATGCTTGTTTTTGGATTTAATTTTGTTAATTATTGGATTCCATGGCAGCACCCATTTATCTTCTATATTGAAATTAAGATGTTTTTTTTTGTATTTCGAAAACCTCGCTTATCATCCTTGGCAGGAATCGGTGTCCTTTTGCGAGGATCTGTGGTTTATTTAATCGGATGTAATGGTGGGGACGATCTTGAAGATGTGGACAGATAGCAGACTTCCCAGGAGCGTTGGAGCTTCACATCAGCTATATTATGTTCCTTCAATGCTAGTTTTTAGAGATGTTTTTGTTTGACCTATATAAGAGAGACCCCATTCACAATCTAGCTTGCATACACTCCTGCATCTTGTAGAGGAATATTAGACTTGATGGATTGCTAAGTATGACATTAGGACGTCAAACATTTCGGTTCTCCCTGTGACCATTGGTGCTGTAAAGCACTCGAAACATCGGGAATTAAAAAAAATTAATTAAGCGCGATAAAATCCGTATATATATATTGACACCATTAAGGACTTACAGGATTTTTAGAAACTTATTCGACAATATCCAAACCAATCCGCTCTATAACCAATTGGACACTGATACGGTACAGATAAAATAAAATTTGAAGATTTTGGATCCTCACAGTTTCCTTTGGCATCTCTCTTTAAACCCATTGGACAGTCTTCCTTGAAGGTTTTGGAATCATCTTGTGCATTAGCGTCTTCCTTACAGCCCTCGCAAAGTTTTCCATGATATTCTGGCCCAATAATTTCAACATCTGGATTAATAGTTACGATTTCAAAATCTTCCTTTGGATCCTTAGGTCTTTCTGCTTCATTTAGTTGAACGTCAATATTATATGTACTACTTTCACTTGTAGTTGTAACCGTTGTATCCTCAAATGTGCTACTAAAAATGTTATTATATATGTACCTTTTGTATACATTTAAGACTTTACCACAAAATTTGGTGATAAAACTAATGTTTTCCGTTTGATATGTATTTACTTGTTGAATTACATTCACCACAGTAGGTTTTTGAAACAAAAATATCTTCATTCTATTCACCAACACACCGGCTAATATTTCACTCCAGGTTAGAGACTGCATACCTTCTTCTAGACCACTACGAATAGAACTTTGCAGTTTTCTAAGAAATACTCCACGTTCGGCTTCTGCATGAAAAGAGTTGTCTTTTATGATGATGGAGCAATCCAATCTGCTTATGAGTATGATTATAATTACTAAAATTGCGGTATTCATGTTATCAACTTAAATTGTCTTATGACGACAGTACAATAATAGAACTAACCCTAAAATTGAACTAGTCGTGATAAAGTAGATAAACATTACAATGTCATAGTACAGCCACGAAAAATTTTTTTTTTTAAAATTAAAAAAGATATTCAAGTCGAACAGATGTCAGCTATATATATGATTATCATATAGTAAAATCTATATGATAATCATATAGATGTAACTTATGAAAATAGTGTAAAGATCCGGAGACCCTCTTTTACTGGACAAGAGGCATACCATCTTAGTATTCAGGGGTGACAACGCATCTACGTTTAATCGAGGATAAATGTAGATGTCTATGGGATACAGCATCCACTTACCATCAGGTGGAATATGTGCTTGTTTTCCACCCCTATTCTATAAAAAAAAATTGAAACTATATTATTACGATGATGATAATGAAGTGTACCAATCAACAGCAACAAATAAATAAAAGTGTTAAAATATGTTTGAATTAAATGAATTACACAAAGGAGCAAATTTTTCCATAACTCCATCATTCACATCCACAATCCATATGTACGTATTTGTACATGTTTTATATAAGTTAGAGGTAAAGGAGGATTCCTTATATATTAAATATAATATTATATATATTTAAAAATTGCAATTGTTTATACGACTCGGCGCATAATGTTTTGTGTAAGGTTTGGCTGCGTATTTCTGTTTATTTTTTATTTTAATATTTTATTTTTGTATTATGTGTCGTGTATATTAAAACGCATTTTCTTTCTTATTAAAATTTTAAATTATATTTTATCAATGATCTAGCAGACAGGCAGAAAAATGAAGTAATTGTGTTTAGTTTTTTTCTTATTCCTGGTAATAAAATTACGTACTTACTACAATTTTGTATTGCACTGTACCTACATGTCGAGACTGATAACGGATGAAAGATAATAAATTAAGTAAACGTTTACTAAGTGACGTATTGTGTACATAAAAGTATATTTCATATATGGTGAAAACAATCACTATCAGATGATAGAAGAACGTAAAAAGGACGTTGTTACAAAATTTTATAACTTGATATGCATTCAATAGTGTTTAAATATGTGGAGGGCATAGTATTTGAGATTATTTGTTTTAGTAGTAGCTAGTTGCGCCCGCAATTTCGCATGCATGAAATTTACAAATTATCATTTACATTGATCGATTAGTTCCTCAAAAATAAAATTAATTTAAATTAATTGTAGAAAACTTAAAATTCGCATGGTTTGGTATCGTTAAATATTTTCTGTCAGGTAAGTAAACTTAATGCTACTCCAAGCTTTATCTTGATAAAATTACATAAAATATTATTGGAAAATATAAGTGGTGGATGTGCATATAAGGAAAAGGAAGTACTATATAATATTAATTGTGACATGGTGTGGTTGTTGATTTTCAAATAAAACTTTGATATTAAGTAGCATGCTGATTTGTAATTGACAGAGTTTCTGCTTAAGGAAATTATGTAATTAACAATGATCTTAGTCGGAGTCCTGACTTTGTATTTATACCCGCATTATGCGCTTTACAATTATTCGTAAACGGAAATATTTTCAAATCACCTACATTACTTATAACATCCGGAATCTTATATTATAATGTAATTACAAGACACACTTCGTACTTAAATATTTAATACACCATCAAATAATAATGCATTTATTTAATCAAGTAAGTACCTATATATTTGATAGAAGAGTTTATAATTGAAACTTATAGTATTGCTACTGTCGTTGCGACACAATATTCAATCACATACATTGATACTACATTTCATTCTTAATGATAAGAGGTTTAAGTAAATTTATAACTATGGCTGAGGACGCAAGGAATTTTTAAGTGATATATAAATTTATTTTATTTATTTATTTACGTCAGACAATATAATTCATACACAGACAAAATTGTAACTTGTTTTATAATTCATTCATAATTTATAATCTAAAAAATTTATAATATTATACTAAAATTACATACAGACACTACACATTGTTTACATCGTGTTTAGCTGCGTGGAATCACGTAACCTTCCTTGTTAGTATTTGAACAAATTCTTCCTTCATGAAAGTCTCAATGTGGAGTGTTGAGACCAGAACCACAGATGATTTAAAGTTAACATTATGGCGCGACTCTAACCTTTCGATCCTAAACATAATGTTGGTCTTAAAAATTACATTGTCACTTATAAGCATATAAGATATAAATTTCTCTTTTTTTCTACCTACAATATATATATATATATATATATATATATATATATATATATATATATATATATATATATATATATATATGCTTGAACCTTAATTAATGGCTTGAAATATGTTTGGTGTCTTTCCCAAATTTGGACTTGTGTGTGACATATTTATTATAATGTAATCTTATTTCCTAATCCATAACATCAAAATTAAACCAAAGAACATTCAAAAAAATATATCAGTCAATTATCTAGTAACCTCAAATGTGAAAGTTCGGCTCCAACGCGGGCTCTAAGGCCGTTGTCCAAAGGCGTGTAATCCAGCAGCCGTGAAATTGGATTGAAGGAGTGTTCTAACTATTATACATATACACCCCAAGTATGAATCAAGGCTATAAACCTAATATATTAAGTTTTGTAACGGTACATTTGGTGTTGATTTTAATGTATCCCACCCAATAGTAAGTGGTGGTGTAGCCGAAAATTGTAATGCGCACTAATGTAGCTTAACAAGAGTTTTGAATCTTGCCTTGACGACACCATAATATATATATATATATATATATATATATATATATATATATATGGGTGGTATAGATTACCAAGTAACCTTACATGATAAAAATTTAAAGTAAGTAGTTATTAGACCTTCATGATATGGGATCTCATCTTAAGATATTGATGGGGCAGCATTCCCCTACTTTGCAAATTCTAACATTAGCTTTCCTGAGTGGTCTTGACGTGGCATGACATTCGACAAACATTCCTTCGAAGTTTAGCATCGCTTAAATTAAACAGTAAGTTTAATTAAATTAGAATTTTACATAAAGTTTTTATTTTTAAAGATATAAGTAATCGCTTTCGGAAACTTAAATAATATAATTTGACATCCTATGAAGGTCCCACTGCTGATCACGGGCCTCCCCTAATTTTCAATCATTTAATTTGGATGAACAGTGTCGACCCGTCAGAAAAATACAGCCTACTTAACTTCACACTGCTAGGACTTTATCTCATTTCTAAGAGGGTTATAGAGCAAATTACACGCTGTGTTGCTCCAGTAGGTGTTGTCGGATATCACGTGTCTTCGAAATATTTTTATTCCTCACACCTCCGAGCACGTAGTAAGTCAGCATTTAAAATGTAACTAAAATCCTATTGGTGGAGCAGAGAGAAGAGTAAAGGTGGTCGTAAATCGAATCCACTTTGCTCGTGTACTATGAAATTTAAGGCGAACGCTAGCCCTTGAGCTACTACTGCTCTACCAAAACACTGTATGAAATTGGCAACCGGGTATAAATGGAGAAATTCGAATGAATATAGAGTAGGAAAAATACTCAAAATAGCCTCGGATTTGGATAAAAACTAGAAATGTATACTCAGATTTGAAAGGAATCAGTTTGCGTAGCTTGAAATCAACATGCTGATTTTGAAAAGTGGGCATCTCCACCCTCTTGTTAACAGAAAGAGTAAACTGTCGGTAAGACACAAGCTCTACCTGTACAAAACCTGCATTAGACCTATTATGTCTTACGCAAGTGTAGCTTTTTCTCACACATATAAGACCCATCTTCTTGAACTACAAATAGTACAAAACTATTTCATCCGAAAAGCGACTGAAGCACGGTGCACAAGCAACGTTCAAATTAAAAAAAGACAAAGAGAGGTCTCAGTGCTACTTCGAGAGCGTCTAAACGCACCAAATCGCGTTAGTGGCAAACTCAGCCAACTACGTCCCAATACCAAACGTCGCGCCCACTTACCGTAGACCGCGAAAAGTACTAATAGAATACCACGACCGCTCGATCCAGACGAACCAAACGTCGCAGAAAAAACACACAATGATACTACATCCACACCAAATGGGACAAGCACCAACAGAATAACGGATGGGGCGCGTCGCACCCGTAGGCGGGCATAACGTTATCCAGCACACACCGCGTACACACTGTACCGGGGCGGTTCTCACCGCCCAGAACATCGATCGACAAACGCCGACTACCGACCGGCTGGGACAGGGATAAAATAGCTCAAAAACGACCAATGAGGCGACATGATGATTAGTTACAACGCCAAACCATAAACCATCATCATCATCATCTTCATTGCCTTTCCTTTTTTAATTAGCCCTGAGTCAAATGAAGTTGTAAGAGCCGCATAAGCTAACAGCACAAACATCTCGAAAATAGCACAAGTGCACTATTTATTTTCTCGATCTGATAGGCTGATGGGATGGCAATCTGACGCAACCGGAAATAGTTCAGAAGCAGTTCCAATGACTTTAAATACTTATCGTAACACGGGGTTTAAACACTAACAGATTCCTGACTCTGGGCCGACTGATTTTGGCCTGACCCGAGATTCGAACCCGGGTCAACATGATTTGCAGTCACGCTTACGACCGCTAGCTACCGCAATGAAGCAGTAAAAAATTATTACCATGTTAGTAACTGATGTGTTTATTTCAAATAAATTGTAAAGCTTAAATATATAATACAAATAACTGAAGTACATACGCAAATTAATAAATTATACATGTACAAACATGGCTATTTGTTTGCTACCTTTTTAATATTAAACTACTATAACTGATCTTGGAAATATTTGCCAAAAAGCTACATTGCATCTTGAAAATAACATGGGCTATTTCTTAACTTTTATATTTCGTGCAGAAGTAGTCGCGATTATCTCTAGTACCTATATCGAAAGATAAGGTCTATTGAGGGGTCAGGATAAATCTCGTTATAAAAATGTCACGTTTTTTTTAAATAAGTTA